TATTTTAAAAATATCGTATCCAACAAATATTCAATAAAATTGGACAGAAATATAAAAGTCTCATCTTCTAAATATATGAAAAAATTTCTTAAAGATTAAACATAATTATGTCCGAATAAAATTAAACAAATAACAAAGTTTAATCCTTATAAACTTTTTAAAATTCTGAACATATCCGTATCCAATACTCATCTCAAAAAAGCTAACCTTCAGCAAAAGTAATCTTTCTTGATACTTCCAGGCCCACCTCTCCTTCAAGGAGCTCAATGCTTTTGACTGCATGTGGCACAACCTTGGGGAAAAGGTTGTCAAAATCAAGAACAAAGGCCTTGAATACCTTGGTTGGGGGAGTGGGCTAATAACCTCAAATTCGTGAGTGACAACACCCATGATTCTAAACTAGGATTTTGAAAATGTTCAAATTAAACTAGATAAAAAGACAACAAACAGGATGATGAACCTATTGTTTGAGCTGTGGGGAAGAAAGTGAGAACTAGGATGGCATTTATAGACTGCATTTGAAGCTGAAAATTAAAATTTCTTCAATTTTTTTTTGGTTGGGTATATCCAACATAGTCATTACTCTTCAAAGAATTTGCACTAGTCAAAGAAAGCATGCACCCTGCATGAGAATTTCATAGTAAATCTCCTATTGGTCATTTTTGTTCCAATTCCTTTGCTTTGTATTTGCTTTATTTTTTATTGAAAATGCTTACGTATATATGTGGAAAGAAAATTAGAGGGAATGATCAAATGTGCTGACAAGGAACTTCAAATTTGATTAATTACATGGATAATAAAGTTTAAGTGCTTTTAATTTTTCCCTAAATAATTAAACAATAAAAATTTTACCATTTATGATATTATAGGTCCATATATTTTTATTGTATTCAAATAAATTTTTAATTTTTAATTTATATGAACAGTTAATTTAAACTCAAATAAACCTTTAATTTTTAATTTACATTTAAATAAACTCTTAACATAATACATAATAATGCATGTAAGATACCAGTTTTTTACGATCATAAATGCTTGAAGTAAAATCTTTATTTATATAAACAATCAATTTTACATGATTAAAAATAATGAAAAAAATTGCAGTATTTAATTTGAAATAAAGGTATGTTTAGATGTAAATCAGAATATAAAAATTTATTTGAATGTAAGAAAAATATAAATTTGTATAAATAAAATAATAAAGTTTAAGAATTTTTTAAATTTTAATCTCCGAACATTTATAAGGAAAAAAAAAAAAAGATTGGATCAAGGAATAATTACATTTGATCGAGGTGGCCTTTGGTCATGAAAACAGACAGCAAAATTTCAACATAACAATAGAGGAAGATGATCGCAATCTTTTTCATACAATACCAATCGTAGTAAAAGAATAAAAATTTTATCTGAAATTTAAATTTTAAATTTATTAAATATTAATTTTAAAAATAATATACAAATAAATTGAGTTAAACTTCAATTAGATAAAATTTAATATATTATAATATTAAATTTATTTTTTTATAAAATTAAAGTTTCCTAATTTTAATATCAAAAGTAAAAAATCATAAAAATTTTTAAACTATAAAGTAAGAGTTTTAAATATTTAAAAAATAAATTTTGAATAAAAAAAAAAAAAGGACTGATGGAGTATATATATTAAATGAATAATCAAATGTTGAAGAAGACTTTGAACTATCTAGAAAGCAACTGCTGAGAAAAATTCAAAGCTAACAGACGCAAGTTACTCATACATATCTTTACCTTGTTTGCAATATTCGAGAAAAATTTTCAAACTCTTCTAGGTATATGTTTTTGTTTTGTTTTCCCCTTTCCCTTTTGTTTTTTTGGGCTGCTTGAATTTCATTCAAGAATGTAACTATAGCACAAGATTGGACCTCAATATTTATGGAAAAGATTTATAAGAAGTGAAGTTTGTAAAATTTTTTATTAAAAGTAATAAAAATTAAAATTAATAAATTTAAAGATCTCATTATATAAATTAATTGTGTAAAATTTAATAAATTTTGATATATTTATTAAATAAAAATTTTTAATAAAAATATTATTAAAATTTTTATCATTAAATAAATATCGATTACATTTAAATTATAAATAATTTTTTTAATAATTTTTTTACATATTATTAATTTTTATGTTAAATTCTATTAATTTATTTGTAACGCTTCCAATCCCACATCAGAATGATGTGTGAATAAAGAATAATATATAGGTAGAGATTTAATCTTAAACTTATGAGATACTTTTTATGCGATTTTCAAGTTAAAGCGGATAATACCTCGCTGGTTGGGTATGGATCTCCACAAATGGTATCAAAGCGGTCATCAGTCAGTGACTATGAGAATTATTAAGTGCTACACGATAGTTTGGTATGATTTTGGTTACGTGGATGAACTCGACTTGACAGAAACGTCAAACATTAAAGGTGAAGAGATTGTAATGCCTCTAATACCACATTGAAAGGATATATGAATAAATAATGATATATATGTAAAGATTTAATCACAAACTTGTAAAATATTTTTTGTGAGACAAAATCGTAAGATATTCAGATAAAAACAAATAATAACTCACAAATTGAATGTAGATCTTCACATTATCAATTTGAATATTTTTATCAAAATTTTTTATTTATTTATTTATAATAAAAAATTTCACAAACTTTACCTACAACAAACAAGTTTTGTCTAATGTTTATACCCTTGTTTATACTTGGTATTTAGATAAAGAAATTTTGATAATTTCGTGAAAGTTATTACGAAATCTTAGGCTTAATTACCGTCACATAATCCTAATTATTCAATCAAATCTTGATTGAAGATTTATATAGTGAATTGTTTTTGAGATTCTGTAAAAAGTAATTTTGATCCATTTTGCTGTATGGTCTCCATTCTAGACAGAGAAAAAGCTTTAAGAATTTGACAAATTTGGGGGTTTGGCATAATTCAGTTGACTAACTACATTTTTTTATTATTTTATGTGATTTAATTTCAAGTCCTCATCACATGTTCTTGAAATGTGCTATTGAATGTTAAATATGGATAGAACAAAGGACTAACGGGTAACTCACATTTAGTATTTTCAGTTGATTTCTTTGACCTCCAATCTGTTGAAAGTGAAATCTTGAAGACTGAAATATTCCTTTTCAAACATTATATATTGGTAATAACTAATCCATTAGGCGGATTCGATTTGATTTTTAAAAATATATATATAATATTTTAAATTTTTAAAATTTAATCTAAATTCATATTAATATCCTCTTAAAATCAATCTAATTTTAATTAAATTTTATTGATTTGATTCGATTCATCGATTTTTAAATTTTAATTATATATATTATTTTAATAAAATTTTAAATATATTTAAATAAATTTATATATAAAATAATTATTTTTATTTTATAAAAATTTAAAATATATATAAAATTTGATAAAAAATATATAATTCAATTTAGTTTTTTTTTTTTTTACATTCTAATCCAAAATCTTATTCAAACTTAATATATACATTTAATGTCCGAATTTGATCTGAACTAAATAAAAAATATTAATCCAAATTGAACTGAACACTACGATTTTAAATTAATTTTTAATTTTCTCTTTTTTTTTCTCTTTTTTTCTCACCTTTAATTACAGTGCTTGGATAAGGCCTTGAACCTCTTATTCATCTTTTCTCAAAAGGATTAATGAATAAAATGGACAAAATTTTCTTGATAATTGATAGCAGGATTAAAACATGAGATCGGGCTTCACATGCCAATAGGTTCAAGAGAATCAAAATAAGAAAAAAAAACAATGCTCAAAATTTAAAGATACAAAACTCTAAAATGTGCTATACCTCTGCTTTTCTTTCTTTTTCCCCCCTTAAAAATACCATAACAAGTATTACTAAACCAGAAAAACGATCCATTGGCTCAATGAGGCTCAATAAAGCCTGAGCAGATCAACTGTCCTCTCATGAAGCTGGTGCAATTCGCCTGTAAACTGCTCGGAAATTCTGTCCTCCATTCCTAGCTACCTTTTGTCCTTCTTCGGTTGCGGTGCTCAAGAGTTTTACTACAGGGTCTGCTTCAAGCTCATTCTCTAAGAGGGCTTCAAACATGGGATGATTCTCTAAACAAGACTTCATCCATTCTCCAAGTTCTTCCACATCTGTAATTGTGTATATAATCCCACCAACCTGAAGGGCATAAGCATATTCATCTAGCAAGTGGGGACTAATTACCCTGCGACGATGATTTTTTTCTTTGAAGTGAGGATCGGGGAATAGGAAAAACATCTTTGAAAGCTGTCCTTTCTCAAAGTAGTTGGGTATGTATTTCATCGAATTAGTCCGAACAACAGACACATTCTGGTATTGACCGGGATTTGCTACCCTCAAGCCTGAAATCCTTTCCTTCACATACTCGGTCACTTTATCCCTAAGCTCCATCCCAATCATTAGAGTTTCAGGGAAAAGAGTTGAAAGACTAATTAGAAGCCCTCCAAAACCACAACCAATATCCGCAAACTGAATCTTTCTGGAACTATCAATCTGATCAGATGATAAGAACAATTGAGGGTAATGAAGTGAGCAGTCAACATGGCTTGGGGAGAGAGGAACAGGGAAGTGGGAGTCACTTAGTGGATTGCTGTGTGCTCGCGCTCGGTAGAATCGTTTCCGAGGCAAGCCAGTGGATTTGTTTATAGTTGGGCTTGCCTTGTTTTCCAACATATCTATCCCTACATGCTGTATAATATCAAGTCAAAACCTCAGGGAACGTAGAGGGAAACTGCAAATGAAAATTCAAGTGAAAAGCATGTTCGCAAATTAATTCTTCCCAAAGCCATTTTTTTATATTTGAGGCTATCAGGATTGAACTCTAATCACTAAAACTAAAACTCCGACACTCTACCAACAGATCATACGACTGTTTACCTTTCCAAAGCCATTCCAACACATGCCTATCATTCAAGACCAAAATCACGAAACCGGTTAACAGGATTAATAAAAAGGGTTTTTCAACTTGTGAGAATAGAATTAAGTGTTACATCTGTACTTTTTCCCCTTTCCAGTTAATAAACTTTGCTTATTAGTTAAGATCAAAACCAACTAAGGCCAGTGCACAAAAATTACTTTGAAATCAGAGGTTTCCTCGAGCTAATGCCAAAATCCTTCATGTTTTCTGTTTCACTAGTGAGACAAGTGAAAGAAAAAGCAATCAAAACAGGCTTTTATTTATTAATACCAATAGAAGAAAGCCTTCAATGCAGCGAAAAACCCTTGCATTACCTGGAATTCCAGTTTTCTCAGCAGCCAAACAAAGGGTTAATCACAAACAACACTTACAAAATGGGCAACCTTTCTGCTTCTCAAATCTATGAAGCAAACAAAATACTAAGTACTAAACACAACATAAACAAAACAAAGCAAGAAACTGAACTTTCTTTTACAGAAACAGAGGAAACCCAAATCGACAAATCCCAACGAAAATGAAATAAAAAGTTCAAAACTTAATAATTCAATGGAATTACCGGAATCGGAGAAGCGATGAAGGAGCGTTCTTTTGCTTTCTTCGGCAAGGGGCGGCGCGGTGTGTTTCACTGGGGTTGTACAGTTAATTCAAGGGAATGATCAAAAATGATGGCTTGACCTTGAAAACACCGTCGTATAATTAGATTAAGGAATTGGGCCAATGATTTTTTTATTCTTTTTTATCCTGGACTACATTTTAACTTTGGGCTTTTCAAATACATCAAACTTCTTGAAGCCCATAATTAATAGCATAAAATGAAAATTGAACTAGAAAAAAAATTTTCCATTAAATTGAATGCTAATAAACTATAAATTTTTTTGTGTTTTGAAAAATTTTGTTCGATAGTTAATCTAATTGTATTCAACATTTTATAACTATGAAAATATATTTGCTATAGCCGTAATAAAAAAGAACAACCAAACTACATTTTTATTGACCTTATACCCAAATTTCAACCAAAAATAAGTATACATTAAATGTTAGTTGGTTTGTTGGTATGTAATGAATTTGTGCTTCATTTGGGTGATGGATGATAAAAGTTTTTATTACATCATTATGTTCATTTTAGAATTAAATTTCTAATCAATCATTGAGATGAATTCATTATACTAATAATTTAAAATATGACACAATGAAATGATATAAAAATCATACAAATACAATACATAAAAATGATACAATTAAAAATTTTAATAAAAATATATATTAATTAATACAATCACATATATTTTATATTTTTTATCGATATGAATTGTAACACATAATTTTTATATAAAATATAATATAAATATGTAAATTATCAATATTTTATATAATATGAATAAATAAATTATTATATCTAATTATAAAAAATGATTTTATTTATTATAAAGATAATAATAATCAAGAGCTTGAGAAAGAAAGAGCTACTGCAATAGTCCAAATTTCTGTAAGCAAAAGTCCTTTGAATCTGAGGATGGCCCAATAGAGATCGCAAAAGGGAAAAATAAAAACATAAGATCCTAAAAATAAAAGTCAAAAAGAATATTCCAAACTACTCAAGATTATCCTTTTCAAGAATAATCATTGAACAACCCAATGGCAATTTCCATCCATTTGTGGATTCAAACATACATCCCCAAAAGCATCAAAGTCTCACTATTTTTTGTAAATTTTAAAGGAAAATTAGAAAGAAAAACCTTTCATTTAAAAGGAAGAAATAAACTCTTTTCACATCTCAAAATCCATTTATTTGGTATAAAATATAAATAGAAAGTAGAAAAAAAAAAAAAACAAAACACATCCCATTAATTTGAAAAAAAAAATCTACTTTTTCATTTTTCCCTCAATTAAAAAGAAAAAAATATTTTATATAATTAAAAGGAAAAAAAGTTATTGAATTATTTCATTTGTTTAAATAAACCCTTATATTTTGATTTATATCCAAGTAAGTTTTTATTTTAAATAAAAAATTATTTACATTAAAAAACTTATTTAAGTACAAATTAAAATTTTAAAAATTTATTTGGATGCAAATTAAAAATTAAGTGTTTATTTGAATATAATAAAAATATAAATATTTATCTAAATAAAATTATAAAGTTCAAGAGTTTTTTTTATTATTTTAACTTAAAAAATATATATAAGTTTCCTCATATTTCATGAAATATATCAAATTACTTATAATTTATGCTCTTCCTATTTATATATATTATCATTACCTAAAAAGTATTTTACCATATAAAAATGTATATATCTTTAAATAAAAAATGTTAAATTCAAACTTTTATTTTTCAAGATAAATCTTAAGAAATAAAACATCAATAAAATCAATAAGAGAATTGGCTCTTCTAAGATTATTCAAGAAGATAATTATATTGATAAATTCATTTGACATACTATGATTGAATTATATACATATATATATATATTGATAAATTCATTTGTCTCTAAATAAGTGATTTTCCGATCCAATCTTATCAGCAACCTTTATTAACAGTAATCTCAACCGCATGGTCTATCAATTTCTTTATCCAAACATTTTTTAAAAAAATTAAAAATATCAATAATTATATAAAATATTAAAATTTTTGTTTATGTAATCAAGAACCAATTTTCAACAAAAAAAAAAAAGGAGTTGTAAAATTGTGTAAATCAAAAGAAGATAAAGTTAAAGAAAAAAAAAAGTTTTCAAACTAAAATTTAATAATTATTTAAATTTTTTATTTTTAATTATAATCAATTAAATTTTTTATTTTTATTTTAAATTAATTACATTTTTAAATTAATTTTTTAAATATTTATTTTCATTCAATTAAACTTTTGATTAAAAAATAAATTAAAATTTTTTTCTATCAAGGACTCAATCTGTAAAAGTAAAAAATTAAAAATTTAAATGATTGAAAAAAACAAAAGTGATTTAGATGATTATTGGATTTTAATTTAAGGGTTTTTTAGACAATTTAATCAAAACAAAAGCTTTCCGGACTATTCTAGCATTCTTTTTTTATTGTTCTGGAAAAATTAAAAAACCAAAAAAAAAAAAAGTCACGCACTTTTGTTTCCTCTTTTCATCACCAATCGCCACATCTCCGCCCTCAGCTTCATAAGTCGCCCTTGTACTCTTCTCTTCCCCACCACCACCATTTAATAAAAATAATTTTAAAAAAAAACGAAAAAATCATATTAAACCTTTTTTTTTTAAATCAAGCAATTAAAAATCCTCACTATTTTCTCCTAATTCAGTAAAACCCTAGATATACTCACACCACTGCCCCCCTTAACCTAAGAAGAAAAACCCACCCTTCTTTTTCAACGGTGTCATTTTTGTTTTAAGCTTCTTTTTTTTTTTGACGTTCTGTACAATGTCGGGTTCTGGTGGAGTTTCGATCGTGAGAAGCCGAGGTGACGAGAATCGGTTTTTATATTATTTTTATATTATAATATTTTATTATATTTTAAATTATTCGATCAACTTTTGGTTTCCTATCTTTCATCTTTGTTTGAAACCAAGCCGCTTTCTATGTTTTTTACCATCTTATGTCAGAGCTAGTTGTTTACTAATTTTGTTTGATGCTTAAATATTCTAAAATTGTTTACATTTCAAAATTCAACAATGTCCCATGAAAGAGGCTAAACAATTCCTGATTAATTTGTTTTGAATCAAAGTTAAAAAAGTGGGAAAAACTCAATTCCGAGGCCAAATTCAATGAATGATTTGATTCATTTTATTTACGTTTGTGTGTATATATATATATATATATATATATTTACCTTCCTTGCTTTCCACGCACCCAATTATTGAATTTTTAAACCAACAAAAAACAACTCCCACTTAGACTGTAGTTTGATTAAGGTAAGAGCTGAAAAGGAAAGACGTTTGTTTATAGCCGCCAAGCAAAAGATTGGGTCAGCTCAAAGAACCAACAAAAATCTTGATCCAATTCTAAAATTCAAATAATCTAATCTATCCGAATATAAAGCAACATGTGAACTGAAGTGTTTTTACGCAAAAAAGGCGAATGAAGTGAGATTTTTTTTTTTTTTTGCTAAAATTTATTGAAGCAATCTGAACATATTTATGATCAAACAGATTTTGCCTTGAGAAGTATAGGCTTCCACGAAGATTGGTATACTCTGGCCCAAGCTATTTCAAAAAAGGTTAGTAAAGATGATATATACAAATAAGAAATATAAAAAAATAACATAAAAGTTTAGTAAGCAAATAATATATATAAATAAAATATATAAATTTATAAGCTGAATAAATGTTTCGTTATATATCTTATTTAAAATTTTCTACTACAAGAGAATGCATGGCTTTAACTTAGGTTCAGACTCTTAAAGTTTATTTACATGTTATGTTTAAAAGTTTGATAATTTAATGGTTCTCAAATTATTTCTTACATCATTCTCTATTATAGACTAGTAAGACATATCAATCCTTACCCATTATAAGTTATAAGCAAAAATGATTCAATTTGAATAAGAAATTTTTGCTAACCCATGCGGAGATATGATATCTCACAAAGACGCAAGTATTTTACTCCTTCTTAAGGGACAGAACTCGGTTGTAGAGTTCATGTTATGCATGTGCAAATTAATGATAAATATATAAAATGAATAAATAAATAAAACAAATAAAATACAAACAAGAGAGAAAAAAATCTTAAATTTATTAGGTTAAGCTTGGATAACAAAAAAATCATTTACTGGCTTAACGCTCGATCTCTCTAATAGAGTCGTCAAATTGTCATAACATATATATCCGTAAACCTATCGCTAGATGTAGATTAAATGAGTCGTCATCAATATTTTTTTTTAAGGTGTGATTGATCATTAACAAAATCTGTCTCATTTAAAGAGAAGCCCAAGATTAACTTAGGTATCTATAAATAATAGATTCTAGTCTACGAAATCAAAATTTAGATTCGAGAATACGATTATGCATGAAAAAGATTATAGCACCCTTACAACTCTCATCCAAAAAATGGTACCTATCTGATTTCAAGTTATCCAAGCCTTAAAACATATTTACAATTTATCAAATAATTTAATTTTAAAAATTTTACATAAATTACTCTAATATATTGATAATAATTTAAGAATATTTTCTCACATCAGAAGTATTCAAAAAAATTATTTGTCATAGTTTGAAGAGGCCCTATCGTTGGATTCACTTAATTTTACTTCAAAAAATAAATACCTATAAATTGAGTTTATAAGAAGAAATATCCTTCAATCTATTGGTAAAATTTTTTGTTAAAAATTATCCTCCAATCTGTTGGTAGGAATTTATGCAAAAAGATGAGAAATATTATTTTATTGTTTTTTTAAACTTGATTTTTTTAGAAAATTATAAGGCTTTCCAATATGATGTAAAACCTTATTTTGAAATAAAATATTGGCACTCCAATCTATTATAAGGCTTTTTATTTTATTTTTTTTGAAAAAAAAAAGATTATGTGGTTTTTCAATATATTGGTAAAATCTTTTTTTTTAAATGAT